TGTTGTGGTGGGGGGACACGCCCAAAAAAAAAAAAAAAAAAAAAAAAATCAGAGGGAGGCCAGCAGGTGGTGTGGTGGTTAGGGGCTCTGGACTCCCATATGGCTGACCGAGGTTCGAGTCCTGGTCCTGGTGGCTTGCTTTCTCACTTTCCCTCTCTCTCTTGCTCTGCCCCCTCTGGTCAAATTTAAATAAATAAATAAATAATAAAGTTAAACCATTCTTTTAAAAAATGGAGACTTGGTTAACAAGAAAACTGATCATCAATTTTATAGGCAGTAGCAGGTCCAGTGGAGCAAGGACACTGAGAAGGAGGCTGACAGGGAAGCCTGAACTCTGAGTGCTGGTGCCAAGATGGCTCCCCACCACAGGTGATGGAACTCTGGCATTCTGGCAGGTTCTGGGCTGCTGGATTCAGCCCATGTTCCCAGTGCACAGCCTGTTCTTATGCACCCACAGCCTCCAGGCCCTTTTATTTTGCTCAGACTCTATGCGGCACCATTTTCCAGGGAGCCATCAGCATCATTCACGGGGGCTGAGGAGGACTCAAGATGGCGGGCGTAGGAAAGAGAGTGACATTCATGCCCGCCGGCCAGTCAGCACCCGTCCATAAATCAGGTCCCTGCCTGGCTTGCTTATAATGAGAGCCACACAGTTAGTGAGATCTCTTTTCCTGTTTTACAGCCCCTCTGAAACTCATCCGGGTTGCCCTTTGTCTCACTCTCCCCGTATATCTGGAGTGATGGGCTTTATGGGCACTTCTGCAGGGGATACAGAATTATAGATCTCTGGATTTATGTCTGTTTGCCAGGCCCTCTCTGGTCCCTGCACCATAAGGTGAATGCCGGGGCAGTGAGAATGATGTTGCATTCTAATAGATCTGGACCAGTTTCTGACAGCTTATTTTGACAAAAGCATAAAATTCAATGATTGTTGCTCAGCTCAAAAGCTGCAGAAAATACATGAGGAAAAAAGAGGATGTTTAAATGTGAGCCTCCCTGTCTTCAAACTGCTCTCTGAGTCAGGTAAATTGTGAAAAACAGGAAAAGCTAAGCCAACAAATTTAATGACAGTGGCTGGTCTGGGTGTAACATGATTTATCCTAGTGGGTGCTGTGTGAGTACATGTTTTCCTGAGACTGAGGGATCACCCTCTGCTCCACGGGCAAATTAGGAGTCTGTTTGGGAAGCAGGGAGTGGGGGGTGGCAGCCAGCCTCTTAGCCAGCCCCCAGATGGTCCTGGTGCACGGGGGCTCACAGCTGCATGTGTGTGGTCCCCTGTCACACTCAACAGGCCTGTGTGGCCGATGAGCTAGTGCAGCAGTGACGGTGGAGAGCACTCCTCCTGCCTCGTTGTCTGGCTTTGCTCACTTCGGTGGGAAAAGGTAGGGAGCCCAGGGGCTGCATTGCAAGACTGCGAACGTAGCCCCAGGCAGACGTTCCCAGGGAGGAGCACAGAGGCCTCCCACTAAGGGCCAGCACAGTCACTCCCTGCACGGCTCATGTTCCAGCCCCAGTCAAGCCTTCAGATGATCACAATCCAGCCAGCAGCCTGACTTCTGCAGCAACAGGGGTGCCGAGTGGAATGGCCCAGTCAAGCTGCTCCCCAAGCTGTGAGCAAGAATAAATGTTCGTTGTGTTAAGTCACTACATTTGGGGGCACTTGTTTTGGACCAATAGAAAATGAATGGAGGTTTATAAGCCAGCATTTGTTTGGACTGTGTGGGACAGAAAATCCCAAACAAAAGAAGAGAGTGCTTTGTTTCTCTCTTACATAAAAAGTCTAGGGTCACAAGTTTTGGCTACTTCGTTTTGTTCTGTCAGTCTCAGTATATGGCTCTCTTCTCATGGTCCAACATGGCTGCTCAAAACCCAGCTATCACATCCCAACTCCAGCCAACATTAAGAAGGAAGAAAAGAAGAATGCACCACCTCCCTTAAGGACAACACCCAGAAGTCACAGATGACACCTCTGTTTTTATGCCATTAGCCAGAACAATCAAACATATGGCTAGCTACTACGAGGGCTGGGAAATGGAACTTTTATTCTGGAGACCCATATATTCGGCTAAGAGTCAGGAATTTAAGCAAAAGGAGAAGCAAACACTGGGGCACCAAGATTTGCTGTGAGGTGTTAGCTTAACTGAATCTTAATGTTAATTAGCAACTTGCCAAGAAGGCAGATGTATTTATAGATAGATATATTATAAATATATCTACTCTGTTATAAAAGATAGGTATATTATACATATATATATACTCTGTTATAATAGATAGGTATATTATAAATATTATAAATGGATGCAAATCTGTTCATTCACTGCATTGAGAGGGAAAATTTATTTCTCTTCTCCATGAATCTCAGTTGGTTGTGTGGCTTGTACCAGCCAATAGAAGTTGGCAGAAGTGATGCTGCCTGCTTCCAAGGCTGGCGTAAGAGATGCAATGTCTGCTTTCTATTTGTGGAATACATTCTTCCTCTTCTTTTTAAAAAAATTTTTTCCAGAGGGCAAGTGCACTCACCAGAGAGAAGTAGATAGACAAGAGACAAAGAGAGAAGAGGGAAAAGAAAGCACCCAGGGGGCGTGGCCATGCTGCAATCCCTCTATTTCTTCATCCTTTTGGGATTTTGGGACACATGCCTGGCATATTTTTCAGGCTACTGGTTGCAAGGTTTGAACTGCATGGTCAACCATATGGGATCCAACTTAACCATGAGGTCAGGGGCCTGCTCGATGTGGAATAAATTATTAGGGAACCCAGCTACCAAGCAGGAAATCTGTTTTCTCTGATATAAACCCTGTTACGAGAAGGTCCAAGCTGACCGTGTGCAGGGAGAAAGGCCATACATGGGGGCACTGAGTGTACTGGGGGAGCCCCAAACTGAGGAGGCTTGCCCATGTTTACTAACCCCTAGGAACACATCCAGAGGTCCAGCAGGGCAAGACATGAGTTTACTTACAAAGGACAGGATGATCTGCTGATAGTCACGTGAAAAATGGTCCTTACTGTCCTAAGTATCAACTCAGGCTATATATATTATGATCAAAGAATATATACGTTGCCTAAAGGATCAACACAGACTCCTTGTCTCCAAGTCAGAGGCCTGATTTCTGTATGCATTGCTCCTATATACATTTGTTACATGTTTAGATCTTATTGTTTGAGGATGACAACAAAAGGCCATTGTGGATTAGCAGTCACAAGAGCTTCTACATTGAATCAGTGCCTCTGGTCTTAAGATGTTGAGGTGGGACAAGGGTGTGTATCTCCAGACCAGTCCTGAACACAAGCTGATTCCATGAGGCAAGATGAATGGTCACAAGATGTTCATGAGGCTCAGTCAATCCAGTGGGTCAGTCTCAGGGTGAAAAGATAGGAGCTCAATGTATGGAGTTTACCCTCAATGGGGCACCACACATGGTCATGAGGTTCTGAGAAGCCCAGTCAGAATGCCAGTGGAATGCAGGCAAGTGAAAGACCCAGGGAATGGAGCAGAAGAACCAACCAGCGTAGCCCTTCCCAGGTCCCTGGACCTGCATGAGCAAGTAAATTGGTTGCTATATCAAGGCACTAAATTTTGGGGTAGCTGTTACACAGCACAGATAACCAAAACTAGAAGGGGAACGTACTTCTGGGAGAAAGAAAAACAAAGAAAATACACAGTGGTCCAAGGCAATTTGGTGTATGCAAGGCATGCCACAGTTTGATATCCTGGAAACTAAAATTTGTGGAGGAGAATGGCGGGTCTAAGGCTGAAAGAAATCAGGGGAATAAACATGGAGGGCGTGGTGTGTGCTACCCTACAGAGGTAGTTTCAGGAGCCTGTCCACCTAGGAGCTAGAGGAGAGAAATGTGGCTTATTGATAGGAGGTTGGTCATAGTGGCATTCAAGATTCAGAGCAAATACTCCTGAGTCCTTTTTCTCCTGTAATGTGCAATATGAGGCAAAACTTCCTAGACAGCATTTAGGAGGGAGGAGATGGCTATGGAGTGATGGTTGGGCTTATATCACGTATTCTGAGGGAGGACTTGGGCAGCATACATTTCTTATTTTCCTTTTCTTTTTTTCGGTTTTTGCTACAGGGCATGCATGCTCACCAGGGAAAGACAGAGAGAGACAGTGAGAGAGAAAGTGAGAAATCACCTCCCATACTGCCCGGGCATGGCCATGCCACAGTCCCTTCTCCTCCATTCTCCTCTTGGGCTTTTGGGCATGCATGCAAACATACCCAGCATGATTTTCAAGCTGCTGGGACTGGGCCTTGAACCAAGGTCGGCCATGTGGGAGTCCAGTGCCTCAACCACCATGGCACTTGCTGTTGCCAGCAGCATATCTCTTTAACTCAATTTCTTTTAGAGTAAAACATCTCTCTCTTGCTGTTTCCTTCTTCGTGGTGGCTAAATCCTCAGGAACCAGGCAACTTGCTTCACCTGGAATAAGGACTAAGGAGGAGGTCAACGAAAGCACAAACTTAACAACCTAACTTGTCTTACATTGCCTCCACTGGGCTCAGCTTGCATCCCCCATGTACGTGGTCCTTTTTTTCTTCATCTGGGGCCATGAGGAAATGACTGTGAAATCAAAGAACATTCTGGATGGTACCTTCACTCTCCAGGCGATGCCTCCTCTCCTTGCAGATACACTAGGTTGCTCATTGTTACATTGCAGAACATCCAGAAAGATTTTCCTGGATGATTCATGGCACGACATCCACCCTGAGGGGTGTTTCAGCTCCTTTCTCTTCTGCACCTCTTAGGAATGCATCTGGCTGCAGACAAGAGAAAATGCAAAGGGGCTTAACTAAGTGAGGCTTTCTCAAGTCACAAGAAGTGTGAAGGTACACAGGCCTGGGCTGGCAACCTAGCTCTTCATCATCATTAAGGATTCACTCTCCTATTTTCTGCTTCAATAGCCTTAGTATAAAGCTTTTATCTTCGTGGCTCATTGCTGCCTTTCTAGGCATCACGTCAAGATTCCAGGAGGCAGAAGGGTGCATGACACATCAGACCATTTCCCCTCTAAGGAGCGTTTCTGGAAGTCCCAACCAGGAGCTGCCATTTATACCTCTCCAGGCAAGCTGGGTCTTGGGCTGTCTCACTCTACAAAGGAGTCTGGAAAGGTGATTCTTCCCCCTTCTTCTCCTTCCCAATGTCTATAATGAAGAAAGTCAAGCAGGAAAGGAGAGTACTGTGTTTGGAATATGTTCCCTTCCAACTTCAGGTACTGCCAGTGTGGTGGCATTAAGCAGGTGGTGTGAAGGTTAAGGCAGTGGGATCCCATGAGGCCCCGAGAGTTGGAGCCCCAGACCTTGAAAATCATGGTGGTGTGTGTGTGTGCCCAAAATCCTGAGAGGAGAGTGCAAGAGAAGGGATTGTGGCATGGCCATCCCCCTGGGGAGTGATTGTTTACTTTCTCTCTCTTTCTTTCTCTGGTGAGCATGCACACCCTGTAGCAATATTAAAAATAAATAAATAGTAGAGGGGTGGGGTGAGGTGGGTGGAGTTAAAAAGCCCAACCACAGTGGTACATAGATAGTGCCACTGGTTGGGCGGCTAGAAGCTGCATGGGAGTCACAGGTTCAGTTCCAGGATCTACCTGAACATGCTGAGTGTCATGGCATACCCTGTAATCCTAGCTAATTGGGAGTCTGGGATGAGAGGGTGGCAACATGGTCAGACTTTGTCCAAAACACCTACTTTTCTTCCTTTCCCTCTCCCCTTCCACTCTCTTTCCTTTATCAAAATGGAAGGTGAGCCCTTAGAGGTGATTAGGCCATGAGGGTTTCTCTCTCCTGAATGGGACTAAGGCCCGTATAAAAGAGGTTTCACAAGCATTAGCAGCATTCAGTGTCTTGCTCTTCTACCTCCTGCCTTGTGAGGACAGAGCATTCCTCCTCTCTGGAGGATGCAATGTTCAAGGCACCATCCAGGAAGTGGAGACCAGACACTAACTTGGCAATGAACTTGCCAGTATCTTGGGCTTGGTCTTCTCAACCTCCAGAACTATGAGAGTTTCTTTTAATATATAGATGACCTAGTCTCAGTTACTCTATTACAGGAACATAAATGAACTGAGACAGGACTGTATGTGGATTTGGGGCAGCTGACCTACAGAGTTCTTCACAAGTTTCATCCTCCCTCACCAGGCTGGGTACCTGGAGGATGTTTAGGCCGATCCTAGCAGTTGCAAAACCATCTGTTCTGCGTTGGTGCATCGTACAGCCTTCTTGAAGATACATAGCGTGATCCCTCTGGTACATGGATAATATTGTAAAATTGCACTATAACATGATTAGTAGGGTCCAAAAGATCCAATTACGTTGAATGTGGGGTTATGATGAGATTAAAGAAAGAAATGTTGGGGGCAAGACCAAGCTGGCAGTTTTCTTATTTTTCCCCCTTTCAGTTGCAGTTTGGCGCCACCTGGTGGTGTCTGTTCTCTCACTAAAGACCCCGTTCTGCCTGGAGAGTGACACCATCTGTGTACCATGTGTATGTAGCTGGGTTTGTGAGACCAGGCAGAGATTTGAGAACCTACCCGGTAGTAGGCCCCTATTTTATCAGCCTGTTTTAGGTAGACTGGTGCAGTAGAATACTGGATTTGAGTCACCCATCCTCTGTCTTGGTTTGGGGAAGGAGTCGGCTGATCTTAGCCCACCTGTGGAGTAGATCACGTTATGTTCCAATTCATATTACCACACACACACACACATTTTATAATCATGTTACATTTTTAAAAATTGCCAGAGGGCACATGCACTTGCCAGAAAGAGACACATACAGAGAGACAGGGAAATAAAACACTCCCCGATGGGGTGAGGTTAGACGACGATCCTTTCTCCTCCATTTCTCCATCCTGTCAGGATTTGGGGCACACATGCACAAACGTCTGGCATGATTTTTAGGCCACCAAGGCTGGGACTTAAACCACCGTTGACCATGTGGGATCTGGCTGCCTTAACCACGAGGTCGTGGGGCTGGCCCCTTATAATGAACTATTAAGGCGATATGGATTAAATGAACTAAACTGATAGGGCACCACCAGGGAAGTAGGATCTGCTACCTTGAAACATTATCTTTATGTGTTACTTCTTTCTCTTACATGGATGAAGTCTTTGCTATATTCCAGAGTTTTTTAGTCACTGTCCGGCAATTAAAAGTTGTGGGGTTATGAGGCTGGCAGGTCATGTAGTGGTTCAGGTGTTGGACTCCCACATGGCTGACTATGGTTCAAGTCCTGGACCCGGCAGCTTGCTTTCTCACTTTCCCTTTCTCTCTCTCTCCAGTCAAAATTTTTAAATAACAAATAAATAATAACAAATAAAATTTTAAAAATAAATTATTTTTTTTAAAGTTGTGGGGCTACTTTTTTTCGGTTTGCCAGAGGGTAAGTGTGTGTGTGTGTGTGTGTGTGTGTGTGTGTGTGTGTGTGTTTGAGAGAAAGAGAGAGAGAGAGAATGGCAAAAAATGAGAAAGCACCCCCCCCATAAGAGGTAGTCATGACACAACCACTTCTCCAACAGCTCTCTCTCCCTTTGGAATTTGGGCGTTTACACACTCACACCCAGCATGTCTTTCAAGCCATTGGGTCCAGGACTCAAACTGCACAGCTGGCTATGTGGGATCCAGCTGTCTTAACCATCAAGCCACTGGTGAGGTTACTTTCATCACAATTATAGCTTTACTTATTTAATAAAACTATCAAGTCTAGTGTAATGATCAAAATTCACAACTGTAACCAAAATGATAGCTTCCTCTTCTCTAGACTGGCCTGCTCCAAGTCAAAAGCCTACAAAGGGATGGTGGACTGATCAGTCTCTTCTATGCTCTCCCCTCTCCCACTAGTTCTGACCTCCTGAGGACTGATAAAGACCAAGGGTGAGAGGGATACCCAGCATTGTCTGTCTAGTGCTTTGGTGAACTCATTCTGGCTTGGTCATGTTCAAGGCTGTTTCTTTCTCTCTAAGGCCATTTTTTGTGGATGTCTTGGAGATACTTCTGCTGATATCTTCCAAGTTCAACTCTCATGGGGAGGGTGGTATCTGTCTTCTAGTTGGAAGATATAGATGTAACAGGGTCCTTTGGGAGTCTGTCTGCTGAATCAGATAGCTCTTTTGGGCACATTACCTTTGACAAAAGCTTCAAGACCATTTCCTGAATGTCTGCTTAGCCTTTGGGGGAAACATCACATTTTCTCCACAGTTGTCGGACATGCAGTTTGCTCCCACAGGAGCCTTCTCTCTCCTCTCTGTTCTTTCCTACTCTGTCTTTTTAGGCATCGCTCTCAGAGCCATCCTCATGCTTCCAAACTTTCTAAGATCAAAAGCTCCTTGAGTAGGCCCCTGCAACCTATTCTCTCCCTGGAGAGAGAAAATGCCACAACACTTTAACAACTCTTTTGGGGGAAGTGTTTTCTCTTGGTTTGCATCTTTAATCCTTTCATACTTTCAAGGTGGGTATTGGTCAAAGCTACAAAAATCAGACTTCAGATTTCTCTTTGGCAAGTTCTGCATTTATATGATCTTGTAGGGACCAGCAGTTAGCGTAATGGCTATGTCGCTGACTCCCATGTAGTCGACCACGGTTCGCGTCCTGGACCCGGTGGTTTAAACTCACGCTGGGCGCGTGTGCGTGCGTGCGTGCCCAAGATCCCGAGAGGAGTCCGGAGGAGAAGGGATTACAGCGTGGCCATCCCCCCTGGGGGGTGATTTCTCACTTTCTGTCTCTCTGTCTCTCTGTCTCTCTGTCTGTCTGGCAAGCGCACGCGCCCTACAGCATAAAACCTCTCCAAAAAAAATATATATATGATCTTGTATTACTCTTTGGAATGTGCTGGTACTTAGTATCCATTCAGAACTGCTATAGTGCTTCTCTCAGTGTTGTCATTTATATATTAATAAAATTCAATGAGAGGAGATGGCTACTGAAGTTGAGCTGTGAAATACTGCTTTCAGGGACTAAAAATGAAGATATTCTGCTGAGATTTCTCCCTTCAGATTAATTTCTAGTGGGTAGGGCTACCTCTGAATCTTTCTCTCTGTCTCTCTGTGTCTCCCTATGTCTTTCTTTTTTATTTTTTAAGGTAAAGTATTCTCTGGGCACTCAAGCCCCTCCTTATTATGCAAATTTGTGCATTCCTCCCTCCCATTCAGGAAAGGTTCAAACCCAGGCCCATCCTGAAATAGTCACTGAAGTTGAGCTGTGAAATATTACTTTCACACAGGGCATATGTGCACTGCACAGGTTTTTTTTTTTTTTTTTGCTTTTTAAAATTAAAATGTAAAACTTTTATCGTCTATTTCATTTCTTTCTTTCTTTTCTTAATCTTCCTCTTTCTTCTTCTCTAACTCTTCTCCTTTTTCCTTTAACTTCATTCCTTGGCTGCTCAGCCTCCAGACATTGAGTGTCTAGACAGATCAAGTGAATAGTAACCAAACATCTGAATATGATTAGGGTCAGAATATTCCTCAATTCCCATGGAATCTGACACACACAGAGTAAGAAACGGATCGGAAGAGAGATTGCAGATCGCCTCCTCCTGCATGCCTCTGAACACTCAGATGGAAATTCAAAATTTAGGAAGAAATGTATAATGCATCAGATGACTAGAAATCACTGCAGAGTCACAAGAAATATGAGAAAGCAAGAAAATACCTTTCCTCCAAGGGAAAAGAATAACTCCTCTTCACCCTCAGACAGTACAATGGAACTCACGGAAATCTCAGATAAAGAATTTAGAATATTCATAGTGACAAAGCTAACAGAGATGGAAGAAAAGAGAGACAATGAACTACGGAAGAGGCAGGGGAAAGGAGCTGATGAATTCTAGGATGTTCTTAGGAAGTTCTTGCAAGATCTGAAAGAGGAAATACACACTATAAAAAAGAACCAGGTGGACCTGTTAGGGATGAAAACTGTAATACAGAAAATCAAAATCTCCCTACGGGAACCAGCAGTTAGCGTAATGGCTATGTCGCTAGACTCCCACGTAGTCGACCGCGGTTCGCGTCCCGAACCCGGTGGCTTAAAAACTCACGCCGGGCGCATGTGCGTGCGTGCCCAAGATCCCAAGAGGAGAATGGAGGAGAAGGGATTGCGGCGTGACCATCCCCCCTGGGGGGTGATTTCTCGCTTTCTGTCTC